TCTCTCTCTCTCTGCTCTGCCATTTTCTACCATGTGAGACCTCTGCATTGCTGTGAAGGCCCTCACCCTACGTGTTCCCTGGACTGTGGACTTCCCAGCCTCCGAAATTGTAAGCAATACATTTCATTTTCTTTATAAAATTCCAGTTCCAGGTATTTTATTACAAGCAACAGAAATGGACTAATACCTTAGGCAAACAAAAAAACAAAATTAATTCCAGAAAGGAAACAATCTAACACACAACTTGTCTCTGCAATGAGCATTAATTACAAAGTAAGAATAACGTACACTTTTATTACTGATTTAGCCAAATATTGTGATATAATGATAAGAGGAGGATGAGGAAAGGGAGGTGGGGAAGGGGTATAAGAAAGGTAAATTCTTGTCTACTGGTAAATGCTGCTTAAAAGTAATAAAGCGAAAAGGGTGAATGGGTGAATTTTATGGTATGTAAATTATATTTCAATTTTTAAAACTGAAAAAAAGCAATAAGAAAAAGCAGCATAAGCATATTATTTAGAAATAAGGCAGTAAACATTACAGGAAATGGCTAAATGAGGAGCCCTTATTATCACCCTAAAACATTCCGTGAAGTAGCAACTCAAGTGCTTTGGGGGAAAATAAGCAAAGGGGCTATGTCAGAGCTGAAGGGAGGGAAACTCCAAGTGGCTTCAGCAAGTACAAGAAATCAAAGTGCTAAGACCACAAGAAGCAAAGGTGGAGGAGGTCACAGTGACCTTGGAGAGGGCCTGGCTGTGGGATGGGGAGCCTGAGCCATTTTTACAGGATGCCCTTATTATCACCCTAAAACATTCCGTGAAGTAGCAACTCAAGTGCTTTGGGGGAAAATAAGCAAAGGGGCTATGTCAGAGCTGAAGGGAGGGAAACTCCAAGTGGCTTCAGCAAGTACAAGAAATCAAAGTGCTAAGACCACAAGAAGCAAAGGCGGAGGAGGTCACAGTGACCTTGGAGAGGGCCTGGCTGTGGGATGGGGAGCCTGAGCCATTTTTACAGGACTTCTTGGGGGTCATGGTGACCCAGAAAGCAGAAGGCGCTCAGTTACACTGCGTTCCTCTCACACAAGACCTCTGGTTCCCCATGACCCAACACACCCCATCCCTACACCACATGACCCGCCCCCACTTGCACCCTAGGCTTCAGCCTCACCTGGGCTTGAGGTAGCTGAGTGCTTCTGAGAACTGGTTGGTAAGGAACAGGTCCAGGGCAGTCATGCACTGGTCCAGGGCCTCATGGAGGCTGCTCACAGGAGTCCTGAAGGGAGAGACGTGGTCCTGACCTTGGAGCCCTCACCCCCCTCCTGGCTGGAACAGAGCTGCACAGGACCCACTCGACCCCCCTGGACGGCCTTGGATGCCTGTCCCGAGCTCCTCCAGGTTGTCCATTCTGTACTGGGATGCAGGGACAATTCAGATCCACCTCTCAGTGTTCCCAAGTGTGGGAGGAGGAACAGAAGGGGGTGTCGTCTGAGATCTGATGGAGGGGGTGGGAGAGGGGCTGAGGATGGGCGCCAAAGAAGCCCTAGGAATAAATTTATCTTACCTTCCACGAGGGTAACGGGAGTCTTTGTGGCTCTTCTGACCCATTGGGCTTTGTTGCCCCCCCACTAAATCCGACTTGAGTTCCTCTCTCCCTCCTCCTTCTCCAGGCCCCCTCCTGCCCCCAGGTGCACTCTAGAACTCCAGACACTGTCACAATGGGCTGGGGGGGGGGGGGGGGGAGGGGGTGGACCTGTAAGAGTGGCCCAGGGCCTTTCACACTCAAGTGTCACCTTCTCAACAGCACCTCCTGTATACCTGGCCCCTTTCCTATTCTTATGTTTCTCTATAGCTCTTATCGCCATCTGACATATAATACTCTTTACTTATTTTTGTGTTTATTGTCTGTCTCCCTCCACTAAAATATAAGCTCCCAGAGGTAGGAACTTTTTTTTTTGGTGGGGGTAGGGGGAGGGGGGGATACTAGTGCATCCCCAGCACCTTGTGTCTGGTACAAAGTAGGCTTTTAATAAATATCTGTTAGGGGAATGAATCAATGAAGAGTCTAAGGCTAGGACAGCAATCCCTGACTTTTCTGGCCTCACCTTTCCCATTTGAAAAATTAGAGATGAAACTAAGAGATCCAAGAAGGCCTATTTGCTGATCTTGAGAATGTTTCTTCTCAAGGCACCTCTTTGAGCAAAAGAAGTTTCCAGAAAGGGGCTTGATGATCTTGCTGAAGGGAAACCCTGTTCTCTCAAAATTATTTAAGAGAAAGTCCCTACTCCCCCAGGTAAACTCCCACACATACCTGGAGGCCCAGCTGTAATGTCTCCTCCTCTGTGATGTATCAACAGATCTTCCCAGGCAAATTGAAATCTGTGTTTTGCTCAAAACTGAACTCTTGTTCATTTCCCAAATCTGTTTTCCTCTAGTCTTTGCCATTTTAATAAGTGACTCCCTCTTCCTAGTTTCTCAAGCCAGAAATCTGAGAGTCATCCTTGACTCATCCCTCTCCCTGGCCCGTCCTTCGCTCCATCACTAAACCATGTCAGTTCTACTTCTGAACCATCCCTCGATCCACTCCCTTCTGTGCCAAGTCCCTCTGGTCTGGCCACTGTCACCTGTACCCAGGTCTGCTGGAAGATTCCCCCTTCTACTCCCACCACCCCTCACCCCTTCTCTTTTCTCTCAGAACTTTTTATTCTGTATCTCATGTCTCTTAACTCGCTTCTCTATCATTTTTTTGACTCTCTATTAGATTCTGAGTAATTTCCTTAGATATTTCATTTCACTACTTCTCTCTCGAGGCGTGTCTGATCTGCTACTTATCCTCTTTACTGAGTTTTTCATTTCAATGATTACATTTTTCATTTCCAGAAACTCCACTTGCTTCTTTTTCAAACCTGTTTGGTTATTTTGTACAGTATTTTGCTCCCTGCTTACTGCTTCAAGTCGATCTTCAATTTCTTTATACATTTTAAACACAATTACTTATACCCTTTTTCTTATAATTCTAGCATTTTAGACTCTCAGGGAAACTAATTCTGCTGTGGTTGTTTCTGGTGCCCGTTGCTCACAGTGGCTTGTTTCCTCGTATCATTTTATCCCAAACTCATGTTTGACTGATCCCAAAGGGACCTTGGGATGAGGACACATTTCCTGCAGAAAGGATTTTCATTTACTTCCGCCGGGTTCCCAGGAGCACTCCACCCTGAGACCACTTACGGTACGTTTTTAGTTTATGATTTCCCGGCCCACAAAGTTAGTGTACATTCAAACCCAAAACTTGTGTGACAGCAGACCAGTTATTTATGATTTCCTAGGGAGCCTTTTTTCCCCACCAGAACTGTTCTCTCCCTTTGCTGGTAGGTGGATCTTTTTTCTGGCCAGTCCATCTATTCACTGAGGCTGTGGTCCTTTGAGGATCCCAGGTTTATGTGGGAGTTGGAGGCTAAGTTCCAACTCCTCACACTTTACATAACCGTGTCAGCCCAAGACCTTGTTCCCCATGCCCTGAATGGCCGTTGAAACTAAAGTTCTAGGTTCCGGAATTTGTAAATACCCTAAGGTTGCTGCAGCGTCATCTCATTACCAGCCTGACGTGAGCTCCCTCCTCATTCTTGGCTTGAGAGGATTTGTGACTTGTGTGGGAGCTCAGGAATGTATGAAAGGATGTTTGTTGTAACCCATCCAGCCTCTGTGTAGTTTTTTTGAGGGAGAATGTCGGAAGCTTTATTCCCGCTAATACCTCCTTCTCATAATAGCTGAAGATATCTTTTAAAAACCCAAATCTGACCATGTCATTCCTGGACTTAAAATCCTTCACTGGCTTCTCATTACTCTCTGGGTAAATGCTAAGCTCCTTTCCATGCCACGAAAGTCGTCACCCACAGCTGCCCCGCCCCTTTCTTCATGAGGCCAGGACAGTATCTATCTTCCTTTGTGCCCAGAGCATCACCTGGTGACTGGGGTTCAAACCATTCATTTCTGTTGGGTGAAATCAATGAAAAGGCAGTCAGCATCTACTGCCCTGGGTGTTTAACCTTAAAATACCCTGTGAAATGGGATTATTACCCCCCAACCCACTGCAGATGAGGAAACTGAGGCATAGAGGGGAGGTGACATGGGCAAGGTCACATATCCAAGTGTGGGTTCTAACCCAAGTTTCTGCCTGTACCAGTGCCCATCAGCTCAGCCCATGGAATCAAGTCCATTGTGGTGGCTTATGTTCATCTCTAAACAATTCCAGAGCCAAAAGTCTACCTCCCATTTCTGCACACTCTCCCACCCACCTCTACCACCTCCACCCCCACCAAGAAGAGGCTCTGCCCGCTGGGTCTGCATGGAGAGAAAGATGCAAAGACTGATGGACAGACAGCACAGATGTACACATTCTCTCCCCTGGCAGCCCCAGCGCACCTCTTCTGCTTAACTGGAGTGAGGTGGGGGGGGGGGGTCAGGCCCTGGGGCTGATTTCCTTCCTCCTTTCCTCCCACAAACAACCACCCCACTAATCTCCTGCTCTGGGCCAGGCCTGGGGCTGGGCTGTGGGACACAGAGTGGACCCAGACCTGGGCCTGCCCTTGAGGTGCTTACAGTCTACATAACAACTGAGGCAGACAGAAGCAGTGACAGCCAGAGTGATCAGGGTTGTGATAATGGTAATCATTGGGGGCTGGTGAGGCCCAGAAGAGTCGCCTAATCCAGCCTGGGGCACTCAAGGAAGCTGCTTGGAAAATAGGGGGGGGGGGGGGGGGGTCAGGCCCTGGGGCTGATTTCCTTCCTCCTTTCCTCCCACAAACAACCACCCCACTAATCTCCTGCTCTGGGCCAGGCCTGGGGCTGGGCTGTGGGACACAGAGTGGACCCAGACCTGGGCCTGCCCTTGAGGTGCTTACAGTCTACATAACAACTGAGGCAGACAGAAGCAGTGACAGCCAGAGTGATCAGGGTTGTGATAATGGTAATCATTGGGGGCTGGTGAGGCCCAGAAGAGTCGCCTAATCCAGCCTGGGGCACTCAAGGAAGCTGCTTGGAAAATATGGCCCTGAATTGAAAACAAGATGGAGAAAAAAGTCCAAGAAGGGAGACAGCCTGCACGAAGGGCTGAAGGCATGATGCCACAGTTAGGCAGCACACGTGGTCTGGAAGGGCTGCTAAACGGAGGGCTGAGGTGGGGCTGGCTGGAGAGCTCAGGAAGGCTAGAATGTTGGGCCCATCTGACTTAATAATAGCAATAACAACCACCCCATCGCCACCAAGGGACTATTGTTTCAAGTTATCTAAGTTGATGACTGCATTATTTCACTCAATCCTCCTACCAGCAGCTCTTATCTGCATTTGACAGATAAGGGAGTGCAGGCAGTGAAAACTGGAACCTAGGGCCAGCCCAGTGGCGCACTGCTACAGTGCGCCGCTTGGGAGCACGGCGGCGCTCCCGCCGAGGGTTCGGATCCCATGTGGAGACCGGTTCCCGCTCACTGGCTGAGCGCAGTGCGGGCGCAACACCGAGGGTTGCAATCCCGTTGCCGGTCCCCGGTGCGGGCCCAACGCCGAGGGTTGCGATCCCGTTACCGGTCAGTAAAAAAGACAAAAAGGAAAAAAAAAAAAAAAAACTGGAACCTAGTCCCCAAGCCTGAGAGAAGACAGAAATGCTTTCCGTGTGAGCCACAGGCCAAACCTTTCCCCTCCCCTGGCTGTGACTGAGGCCTCCACATCTCCACAGGCTGATCCCATGTCTTCAAGGCCTTTCTGCTCCAGGGCACCTTGCTGGGCCCAGGCGATATATATTCCTCTAATGATGGTGGCCTTTCCACTGTGCCTTGGGGAAACTGAGGTAGGGGCAGGGAGCAGCAGTGGAAGTGCTGGGCTGGATGGAGCATAGAACAGGGCTGGGGACCAACACCAGGAGCTTTGGCTTAGTGGTGAGGGGCTCTCCCATTCAGATCCCACCCACAGTTGAGGCCCCAATAAGAAGAGAGCTGGAGGGCAGATGGGGTGTCAGACAGCTGGAGCCACCCCCACTCTGTCCCTCCTTCCCACCCCCTCCTGCAATCTGCCTGGACTGCTACCTTAGTGCCTCTTCGGCAGAGCCGGGTGGAGCGGAGAGACCCTCAGTCCCCACTGGGGACAGAAAACACCCTACCCTGACCCCAGTCAGGATGAGGGGGATGCGGGGCACTGGAGGCAGGGGGGCAAAGCCGCTCAGGGAGCAGACTGGAGTCAGAGCTGGTTTTTAATCCCTGCTCCACCATCAGGGGAACTTTAGCTTAAAGAGTGAAGTAACATGTCTGTGGGAACCTGCCACTTCCGAAGTGACCTTTCTAAATATGATTGTGACTCTCCTTCCAAAGAGTCCCCTTTAGGTGCACATCAAGCGAGTATCATGGCACAGAGTGATGTGGCATGACCTAATGCAGCATGGCCTTCAAGTGTTTTAAAAGAGGACATCCCTGGATTCAAGCTGCAGCTCAGCAATTACTTCCTGGATAAATTTGGGAAAGTTCTTTAACCTCTGTGAGCCTCAGTTTCCTCATCAACCTCCTAGGGTTGTTGTTAGGAATGACTGAGACCATGTAAAGCACAATAGTAAGTACTTAGAAAATGTCAGTGGTTAT